GTGTGTGTGTGTGTGTGTGTGCGTGTGTGTGTGTGTGTGTGTGAGTGTCCGCATGTCTATCTTATGATGCTTGCGGACTGGGCTTCATCGGGTTGGTACCTGCCTGCATTCCCGTTGAGGGGGTCGATTGGGGCGTGAATCTGGGGAAGAGTCTCTGGGTAGGGGTCTCATCTTAGGCAGGGGAGGCTGGGTTGTCGCATTGATAGTAGAAGGGTGGTAAACACCCATAGACTCTGTTCGATGTGATATAGGTGGGGAATGATCACATATCTGCGACCCCCCTCCTGTGTCCAGGTCGTCCTCGAGAATTTGGGGTGTCCCTATGGTAGTGCCCAGGAGCCCGGCGGGGGGCACTCGTCTGAGACCCTAGGAAGGCACGGGTTGGTGTAGGTCGAGATCTACAGACAGGTCTGCATCACACCGCTGTAGGGCTCGACTTGCGATCTGATTAGGGCAAAAAAAAGGTTCATGAATGATGTCCCCTGGAGGAGACTGTCCTTGGGGCTGTCACGAGCCATCTGATCTCCCCACTGGTCGAGTACAACCACAGGCACCTCCCGAGGCCTAGCATCCAGCCTCTACTACGATCTGGACTTTCTAGGAAAAAAAATGTTAAACAAAAACAAAATAGAGTCAATAGACCGTGCTTTTGCAAAGCTTCTTATGTGCATCATGTTCACCTCCTATGGATTCTTATTCTCTTTAAGTTAGCCCTTGTTAGAAAACATGTCCATGTGCTCTCATCTGTGCCATCATGTGAGATGGGGGAGCCGTGGGTGGGAGGCTGGGGAAGGGGGAGGAGGGATGTGGGAGGGGAGGGGAAGGAGGGGGATGAGAAGTAAGCAGGAGGAGGGAGGTGGTTTATGAGAGGAGGAATACAAGAAATTTATGAGGTTTCTGTAATTCTTGGGTGCAATGTACAGTGACTCAGGAGATTTGCGCCGAAAGAGAAGCAAAGCTGCAGAGGTCAGGACATGTTGCAGACTATCAGGACACACATTAGTACTACCCTAAATGTATCTTACCACAATAAAGGCCACATTCTGTGACTTTGGTCTGGAAGTGTGGTGAAAATATCCTTTCCAGCAGTGGGGTTCAAGCCTTCAAACAATTTGAATTCTTGAATGAGATTTTGAACGGTCTAACAGACTCTAACTGCCTACCGGGACAGAAAAAAAATGGCCCCATCACAGTACTAACTGTTGTGTTGTGAATGTTACCCTCTTCGGATCCCCCCCGAACACAACGCACCCTCCTAAAGACTGTATCAGGCTGGAAAGATAGGTTGTATACACTCATGATCAGTGTGCGTTGTGTTTGGGGGAAGACGGTTACTGTTACAGTAGTCGATTGGGTCATAATGGGGTATTGATGTGGACGGTCTTGTCCATGGCC